TAAAAAAATCAAGGTATAGAAAAATTTTTATTAAGTTAGTCCTTTTATGTAATAAAATGGGTGTATCTAAAATGCCTATAATCGCCTCACATTCACACTATGTTCTATGAAATAGGTTGTTAGTGTGCCGTGGATGTTCAGCAAGCATCATACTGTATACAGGCAGTGCCCAGATTACAAATGAGTTTATTCCTAAGTCTCACTTTACACTGAATTTGTACATATGTCAGAATAGTATGTCTTATCTCTAACATCAGTTAAATATTTGTCCTAGAATGTACAGTACCTTTCTGTGCAGAAAAAACATTAAAGCAACATTTCTTGATAAACTAAAGCTTTTTTAATGTAATACAGTAATAATTACATCTTGATGCATTATCACAAGGTAGCACTCCTTTGCTACTATGAAGCATTATATATACCTCAAAATAGGTTTTGTGGCAGTTGGGACCATATATATGCAATTGAGCATTGCCCAAACAGACATGTAGTACATGACTACTTTTCTGTAGAGATACAGTCATAATTATTTTTCTGGAAAAATATATATTTTATTGCCTGTATATGAAGAGAGATAGGGATGTTTGGTGAGAGAAAAGACTTAAGTCTTCATTTTATGTAAGACTTTCTACATTAATATTTTACAGGTCAAAATGATTGGACAATGAGTTTTTTATTTCTTTAAAATTGCTTAAAGAAACTTTTTTAAAAATTGAACAATGTAGAGTAAGATTGAGGTATAATCCAAAAGTCACTATACAGGAAAGTTAAATAACTCTCACAAAAACCAAACTCACTGTGATGGAGTTGATGCTGACTCATAGTGACCGACCTGTGAAACAAGACTGTTTACTGGAGTGGAAAGCCAGTCCGGTGGAGCTGCTCATGTTTCCAACTGTCAGCCATGCAGACAATATATAACCACTACACCACCAGGGCTCCCTTAAAACTCTAGACTGTCCTGATCAGAGCACACAGAGGCAAACGAAGAGGGAAGGACAGAGTGGAACACATCCTGGCCCACCAAGCCCCAAGGACGATATTCCTGCTCAGAGCAGCCAATGCACAGAGAGGACCATAGGGCTGGCCCCACCACGAGACACAGACACGATGTCCATCACTGACCCATTGCACTACAGGGGATAACACTGGAGACACAGTGTGGGAATTGTGGCTGATCTGACCCCACCACACTGGGACGAAACACTTAAGGGCATGCAACAGAGCAGCAAGAGGAGCAAAGCAGAGAAGAACCCAGGGAATACCAAAAATTAGACTTTGGGGCCAGAGCAGGGCACCCAATCAGACTCGTCTGAACAGACCTGGAACTATTTATATGCTTTTATGTTTTTGTGGTTATTTTATGTTTTGTTTTGTCATCTTTTGTTGTTTTGTTTGGCTTTGTCTTGTTTTCGTGTTTATTATTGTCTCTGCATGTCTATCTAGATAAGATAGGCGGAATAAACAATCCAGCGGATGCCTGGTGGGGGACTTAATCAAGGGATGTAACCGAGAGGAATTACTGAAACCCTACTGAAGGCCAAACATGATAGTGGGACGAGAAAAGTAAAAGGAAATAGAGGAAAGAACTAGGAGACATAGGATATTCATAGAGGTCTAAATACAGGCATGTACATACGGTATATACTCGGGTATAAGCCGAGTCAGCACATTTTTTAAAAATCATTTTATTAGGGGCTTGTACAACTCATCACAATCCATCCATCCATCCATTGTGTCAAGCACATTGTACATTTATTGCCCTCATCATTCGCAA